GTATGCAGTTTGCTTCAATCCCTAATCTTTTGTAGCTATAATTTCTGTTAAAAACATCTTAGAATTTGGAATAGGATCATGAACCTGACGTCCAAATGCCATCGTATTTCATTTCTACTAACAATGTTGCTTACACGACTTTCAGACACTTCGATCTATTTTGTTTTTTTATACCCTGAAACACTATGTGTTGGGGGTATTATAAGTTTGATTGGGCCAAAAATTATGTAACGCCTCGAAATATTGGTTTCCCACATAGGAAAATATATATATAGATCTTCCTATCTCGCCGAGCTGAGTCGATCTGGCTATGTATGTCCGTCTGTCCATGTTAATTTGTAATCATTCTACAGGTCGCAATTATGGCCCGATCTTTACGAAATTTAGAATGGAGGTGAGTCTAGAATAGAATCTCTATTGCTTTGCTCGGTGAAATAGACCATAACATTTGTGTCAAATAAAAGTCAAATTTTCCATTAAAAGGCGAACATTTTTAATCCCGGCGAATTCCCAAATAGACGACCGTAACGTAGATGTAAATATATCGGATATATATAGCGAAATATATACAATGTATATGTACAAAGGAAGGGGATGTAAGCTAGAATACTTATAATTTAAGAATGGCTGGACCAATTTTGACAAATTTTGTCAATTCAGAATGCCCTCATGGCACACAAGTATAAAATCTAAAAAAACGCATAAGAGATAAGGGTGAGATAAAAAGAACTGCAACAAAGTCAAACGCCATAATTTTTTACACATTTTTTTTAATTTTATTGAATCAAAACAAAAAATGTCGGAAGTAGCATCAAATTTTAGAATAAGTTTTGATTTGTTCAAACGGCCAATGAAACCGTCACACGCTGCCCGAATTTTACTCTGCCGTATTTTGGCCCATTCCCGGCGGAGCGCTTGCTTGAGGTGATCGACACTTTGGTATTTTTTAGTGCCAACCTAGCTTTCCAAAATACTCCAGCCACAATAGTCCAACGGATTGGTATCCGAAGATTTTGGTGGCCATTGTGTACTGGAAATCAAGCGAGGAACCTCATTTTGTAACCATTCCAACAGTTAAAGAGAATGCGAAATGATTTGTTAATGTTTTGCGTAGCTCAATATCTCCATCAATACTAGATCCAGTGTAAAGACGGGGTACCATCGATCTACGCGGCTACCTCACTCCTTCAAAAACTGTCAAAAAGTTAAAAAATTAAAAAATATAAAGCGAAAACTTGAGACAACATAATATAAGTATCAGTCTTAGATCGGGTACGAAACTTGACAATATCGGTCGATACCATTGGAAGTCCCAACGAAGCTTTTGAGCCATCTTTACTCTTCTAAAAATGAGTTTTGTTCCTTATTGATCTCTATTCTGGATTTTGATCTTACTCAGCATAATTTTTTTCGATATATAGTAGGCAACCAAGTTTTCTTGCACATTTACAAAGGATCACTCTAATATACATACCTCAGCATACATATACATGTACTCATGCACATACCTACATCCATACATTTGAATATCCCAATTTGTACCCACAAACGTTTGCATGGCCAATGATGATGATTTGTGGAACAGTTTCGCGAGATAAGTTCCTTTCAGAAGAAAAACGCACATTTTAACACACCATTTAACGTGTGATGTCTGTCAATAGCTATGTTGTTTGGCGAAAGGATTCGATTACATTCGACTCTTGGGCCACAGTGGCCTTAGAAATAATTAGAATTCCCGTGGAAACATTTGCAATTTAAATGTATTTCCAATTGAATTTTAACCCAAAACTTACAAAAAGGCATTTGAAAATGTATCTGATCGGATAAAAACTTGTTCACACAACATTAATATTGAAACTTACAACAAATCCGTCGCGATCTCAGGTACATGACTGTTCATCCTTTTTTTCTTGCCACCCAACTTAAATCAAAATTCTAATTAGCTCGAATTGCTATGGAAATTATTTGAAATATCTGGCATGAAATTGTAGCTCAGTTTGTGGTTGATTTGATTTAGTTGCGGATAAAAATAACTTTCTATGAAATAATTTCGTATTAATCGTAACAAAAAAAAAAATAAGAAACAAAAACCCCATTTGGAGCGACTGCACAGAATTTATTTATTTCAAAAACCGTTCAAAAATGCAATGTAAAAATAATTCAAGGCACAACAACCAACTGTAACCATATTCATCTAAAAAAAAATAGAAAAAGAAAACCGCAGACTTTGGTTTGCGGTCAGCCATCGTAAACAATTAAATTTTGATAGCTCTCACAGCGAAATATTTCAGCATAGAACGTTCGTGTTGAAAATTAGAACAAAAAAATCTTTATTAATTTATAAGTTCCATAGACGCGTCGTAGGTATGTACAAGTATAAAGGGTGAGATGAAAAAACTGCAACCAACTTCAGAGTGCTGTCATTTAGCTCATTATATTGTTTACAAATATACAAAATCATTTTGGGGAGAATTTTCCAGAAAAAAGGTTATTTGTGATGAAATTCAAGCGTGATAGTGTGATTTCTTTATATTTGGCTGGAAACCCACAAGTGGCTATCTTTTGTGTCTCGTACCATCGCTCGTTACCGAGATGCTAGTAGCGTAGCCGGACGTCAAAGAAGCGGACGGAAGAAAACAGCAACATTAGCAGAAATGGTTCGAAAAGTAAAGAAGCGACTTGATCGAAACCCGCTTCACAGTGGCCGAAAAATGACTCCTGAGCTGAACACATCGCAATATTCCATTCGGCAAATATTGAAAAATTTTATGATATTTCCGACATTTTTTGCTTTCATTAAATAACATTTTAAAAAATATATAAAAATTATGGCGTTTGACTTTGTTGCCGTTTTTTATCTCACCCTGGCGTAGTTCATTTCTTCCCGAAAGATGCCACTTCCACGATGAGAAAGCGATATCAACCGCGATGATTTCTTTTGATTTGGTGTGACTTCTAAGTGACTTTGCTTGCAGGGCTCCTAAGGGTTAGATACACACACAAAGTTTTACCCACTGCATTCATTGACTTCAGAGGATTATATTCACCCTGCAAGCAAAAATGTCCCGAAAGTGACTTAGAAATCACATCTAAGCGATAGAAATAATTGCGGTTGATATCGCTTTCTCACCGGGAAAGTTGCACCCTCGGGAAGAAATGAACCACGCCCGCAATATTCTTATTCTTTTTTATATTTTTATACCCTACACCACATAGTGGTAAGGGTATTATGTCTTTGTGCATTTGTTTGCAACATGGACAAAGAAGCGAGATAGACCCATAGTTACTTTTGAGGATCTCCATAGAATCACTTTCTGAGTTGATTTATGCATGTCCGTCCGTCCATCCGTCCGTCCGTCCGTCTGTCCATGTATTCTTGTAAACAAAATGCAGGTCGCATTAATTATCCGATTGAGATGAAATTTTCCAAACAACATTTGTTTGGCCCAATTGAAATTGAACCCTATTGAAATTTGAGATAATCGGTAAAAAATAGATATAGCTCCCATATATATCTTCGTCCGATTTGCGTTTTATTGTGCACCAAACGTGTAATATCAGCCGAATAGTATGTAATTTTGCACATACAACCAAATTAGGCCTGAAAGTAAGTATACTAAATTTCGAAATCGGTTCAGATATAGCTATAGCTCCCATATATATTGTTCATCCGATTTTCTATTTTCCTCCTCCGCAGCCCTAACACACACTCTGTAACAACAATATTTGGGGAAATAAAGCTCAGAAATACCTTTGCTAAATTTTATCGAGATCGGTTCAGATTTGGATATAGCTCCCATATATATCTACGTCCGATTTACTCTTTATTGTACACCAAACGTCTAATATTTACCCAAATTGGATAGAATTTGGCACATGCGACCGAATTGAGTCTAGAAGCTAGTATGCCAAATTTGGTGAAGATCAGTTCAAATATAGCTATAGCTCCCATATATATTGTTCATCCGATTTGTTGTATTTGTTACCCACAGCCGTAATATGCACTCCGTAACAACGATATTCAGGGAAATATATCAAATACAGCTCAGAAATATCTTTGCCAAATTTTATCGAGATCGGTTTAGCTCCCATAAATATCTTTATCTGATTTCAAATTAATTTTGCACCAAATGGGCAATACATGTCCGAACTTAAAAGATACATATGCTTCTGCATATTTAGTCCTTTGAACTTTAAATTACAATTATAATCATAGTGTGTATGATTAAATTCTCCCATAAAATCTTTTAATTGTTATGTGGAGCTCTACAAAATTAGCAAAGTGGTGTAGAGTATCATAAAGTCAGCCCCGCCCGACTTTAAGACTTTCTTTACTGGTTTTCCAATTGTTATTGGTACTTTTTCAATATATGTTTGCATAGAACTTATACCAATCAGATGAAATACTCACGCATTACTTTTTTTTCGTTTTCGTCCGGGTTGGGAATTGAACCCGGGTGTACAGAGATCAAAGCGAGCATGCTTACCACCGAACCACAGTGTCACATAATCCTCAGATAGTATAAAGTCTTATTTTTGTTCAATTCTTAAATACTTGTAAACTATCGATGTTTTATCCGATGAAAGTCACGAAATAGTGTCTGCACACGCGACACCTTATTTTGTCTCCCTTGACGCCAATACATAGTAACTCCATGAGGATAGAAAGTAGACTACAGTAGTTTTGTGATTGTAAATTTACATACTATTGCATTTATCAGGATTCGAAGCGTCGCAGAAGTTCCATCTTAGAAAGGGATTGAGTAACTCACTTCCAAATGCATGCAGGGCAATAGTATAAACGTGCTATTATTTGTATTTTCCCCCAGATTTGTTTGCAAACTCTTCAAGTTTCCTTTTACACTTTATGCATAAACAGATATTTATTGACATTCGGCGTGTGTCGGTGATCACAAGCCAATCAAATACAGAACAAATTGTCAACAACCTCGGCCACTTCTGCTTAATTAATATGTTTATCTCATATTTTTTCTTTTCAGCTTTTGTTGTTGGCTGATGATATTGCTGACGCTCAATGGATATGCGGGATTGGTATCAGCAGCGACGTCTGTAGATCCTCCTGGAAGTAAGTAAATAGATAAAAAAAGAACTCAGTAATCAATTTGTTGTTTTAAAGGGTTATATGTACATACATATCCAACAAAGGTCAATTGCCTCCATTGCGATACGAAGGTGCGCATGGTACGAAGGTACATAATTACACATTAGAAGGTGTAAACAAAAGAGTAAAGCCACCATTGTGTTCTATTGATAAATCTCTCTAATTGCTCTGGCTCCTATTACTTAGCGATTTCAGTGTAATTACGTGCCGCCAGTGTAGGCGCGTTATCAAACTAATGTGGCAGCTAGAAAATAATCGCAAAAACAAAAACCATCGATTGGATATCCCGTCAAGTATTGTGGTTGTTATTTTTGTTAGCAATGTTACAATTGGAAATTTAAATAATTGCACTTTTTGTTATTTTATTTATTAATAAATATTCAAAAATATGTTGAATAACATTGTCAGCGTTTCAGGCTATTGAACCTGAATGTAATGTTTCGTCGTTGTCGAAATGAATTCCAATTTTTTTCGTAATATATTGATGTGTTGTGTATTTTTGTATCCTTAGCCATGTGGCTACAGAGCCAAAATGTGTCTCATGGAATAACGGTATTAAGCCCTAGGTTTCTTTAGACGAAATTCCTTTCAGGAGTCGATTTGTTTTTTGTTTCACTGTCACACTTCTTCTATAAATTAACCATGAATCTTCGTCTTAAAAACGAACAACGCTTGCAAATCGAAATCGACGAAGGTCATTTTTGTCTCATAAGCAGATTTGGTCGATATTGGACTGAAGATCAGCCATAAGCATTATATCCAGGAATCGTGGATTTGAAATAAAAAATATCAAAGACTCTTCGGCCCAGAATTTGTATATAAATAATGAAACCAAATTCTTGTTGTAATAGTGGAGGGTATTTCGTTTTGTTTGTACTTTTCGTATAATTTGAAATGTCTGTAATTAGGCAATTTTTTAATTCATTTCCTCCTTTTTCTTTGCCAACATAACAATAGTACTCCACAAATCACACATTCTAACATCACACAATAGTAAACCAAACCCAGTAAGGAAAGCTCAAAAGTCGAACGGGGCCGACTATATGATACCCTGCACCAATATGCATATTTAGTAAAGCTCTCGTAAAAGAAAGGTTTATATTGCAATTTCTGAGCTCTATGAGATATCTGGTACAAAATATCATTATGGAAGAGTGCATATTCTGAAAGTTGGATATTTAAACACCAAATCGGATTAAACATATATATGGCAGCAAATTTGAAATTTTTGCTTCTATGCTAAACTCGGTTGAATTGCGAAAAATCACTCCATTTGGTGCACAATAAACCTGAAATCAGATAATAATATATATGAGAGCTATATCCAAATCTGAACCGATTTTTATAAAATTGAAAACAGCTATTTCTTGGCTGTATCTGATATCTGGTACCAAATATTATTTTTGTATCGTGCATTTTGCGAATTTGAGGGACTTAAACACCAAATCGGATGAAACATATATATGGGAGCTATAGCTATATCTGAACAAATTTGAAGTACATGTACAGTAGGAAATGCCAAAATTCACTCCATTTGAACTGATATTAGCCATTTGGGTCACAATGAATCTAAAATCGGTTGTAGATATGTATGGGAGCTATATCTAAATTTGTACCGATTTTCACCAATTTCAATACGGTTCGTCCTTGAGCCATACAAATGTTATTTGGAAAATTTCATCTCAATCAAATAATAAATGCTACCTGCATTTTGTTTACAAAAATACACGGACAGACGGACATGCATAAATCGACTCAAAATGTGATTCTATGCTGATCACCAAAAGGAACTATGGTTCTATCTCGTTTCCTCCTCCATGTTACAAACAAATGAAAAAGACATAATACCCTTACCTCTATGTGGTATAAAAAATGCCTTTCACCTTTTTGTACCATCACGCTGAGCATTTAATTTAAACATAAGTCGCGGTTGCTAGGCAACGGCTTTGAATTTATACTCTATAGGCTTAATCGCAAGATAAAGCCGCAAATGAAGATCATTAACAATACATTTTTTTCTTGGATTTATTTTTCAAACAAAGAAAATAAATTTGTAAATTTTGTAATTTTTATTTTGAAATAGTACAGTGCGAAAATTATTAATAGTTTGGTTTTTCTGCGAACTCATTAGAAACACGCTGCTGTCAAATTTCAATGAAATCTCACACTCTGACCAATATGAATGGAAATGAGGACAAGGCACTTTCTAAATAAATATCAGAATCTGAATGTATTTCTACGTGCCAATTGAGTAATTCCACAATCGAATGATCGAATCATTTTCAATTAATAAGTTTTTGAGGCGAACAATTCAAATTCAAATGTTTTTGTGATGCAATGTGAAATGTGATGCAATTTAATTTAGTTCTTGCGTATTCAAACTCGGGTCAACTCGGGAGTGAAACTTGTCCGAGAAGGGATTGCTCGAAGAGTGGGTGTTTTATACGTAGCTTACTTAGTGTCGCATGTACAAACACTTTTTCGTGACTTCTATCGGATAAAATAGCAACAGTTTACATTCATGTAAGAATTGAACAAAAACAAGACATTATTCTGTTTGAGGATTATATGTGATGCAGTGGTAAGCATGCATGCTTCGCTCTCCGAACATCTGCGTTCAATTCCGCAGCCAGACATCCCATTCTTGTTAAATGTGAGATTGTTTATGCGACAACAAATTTTGAGGTTGATAGTGGGAAAATAAAAGTAGTTTTATAATATGAAATTATGTGAGGTTTTTTTTGAATATCGAAAACGAATGTTTCGGTACTTTTACAAACCGAATAGTAAAATTTATATATCCCTATAGAAGAGCGTTAAGTTTAAACTACCCTCAATAGTGAGAGGGACAAAGCTAAATACCTCCAATGATGGTGTTCTAACAATTACGTATTAGAAATTCAAAATAGCATCACAATCAACTGTAAAACTTCAATTAAAAGGTTATCATGATAGAACATGGAAATACGATTTTTGGTCGAGGTGCGTTATATTCAGGGTGAGATAAAAAAAACTACAACAAAGTTAAATGCCATAATTTTGATTTTTTAATTTAATTGAATGAATGCAAAAATTTCGGAAATAGAAATGTTCAAATTTTAGAATAAGTTTAGATTTTTTCGAATTGGTGAACTTTGGCACGAGTTTTGGCCTTTGGCACGAGTTATGGCCAATGAAACCGTCTGACGCTGCCCGAATGTTGCTCTGCGTTATTTTAGCGCTTGCTTGAGGTGATCGACACTTTGGTATTTTTTAGTGCCAACCTTGCTTTCCAAAATACTCCAGACACAATAGTCCATCGGATTGGTATCCGGAGATTTTATGACAATTTTGCGCTGGAAATGAAGCGAGGAACACGATCATTTTGTTTGTTAACAAACTGCTGGACAACGAATGTTTTCTCATCGGAGAAAACCAAGTTCGGCAGTTCACAACTTTCGGCCAAGCGAAGCAATTCTTTAGCTTTTTTGAGTCTATTTTCTTTCTGTTGCGGTGTAAGTTCTTGCACTTTTTGGAATTTCAATGGCTTTAACCCGAGCTCATTTTGCAATATTTGCCGAATGGAATATTGCACGGACCATATACCCTGTATATGGGAACTAAATCCAAATCTGAACCGATTTCAATATAATTTGACGAAATGATTTTTGCTTCAAATTTCGTTACACACTCCAAATATGAACACTGTATCTATAATCGATCAATAGATATGTGCTTACAAAAACTAAATTTTTTGGAGGTACCTCCTATATCTCCCTGTCCAAGTGGAATTCCAAAAATTTATATAGCCTATGTTACCTTCAGGCTATGCTGTAATACATTTGGAAATTTTCAAGAAAATCTGTTCAGCGGTATTTGAGTCTATAAATTAAAAACAAACAATCAAACGTACAATTATTTTACTCTTTTATAGATATTGCGCCTAATTTTTATACCCTCAGCCATATGGCTACAGAGGGTATATATCATTTGATACGGCCAGAACGTGCCTCATTGAAAAAAACGGTTTAAGACCCTAGGTCTCTTTGGACCAAATACGTTTCAGGACATTTGGAGTCGATCTAGCAATGTCTATCCATCCACATGTCTGTCTGGCTGGCTGTTGCGCACGATATTCGATTGGATCCAAACTTGGTACATCGTAATATTATTGTCACACATAGATCGAGTTTGGAGATGGTGAATAGCTCCACTCCTTTTAGAACCTCCCCCACAAAATGTCAACTTTTTTAAAGAAAATAATTTATTGCACAGAACGAGAAAGGATACTCCGATTTTGCTTTAACTTTGCTAGGTCAGGTGCGAAAATGGACAATATTGGTTCACTCAATCAGGTACCTCCCCCACAAAGGGTCAAAATTGTAAATAATTACAACGCTTATACATTTCTATTTTGAAATTATCAGTAAAGGTTTATATTCATAATACCTTTAAAGCGATAGATGGAGTAATACAATTATATAGAAGTTATAACAAATACCCATTGAGATCTCAAAATACAAAAAAACTTCGGTGACAAATACATCGAATCGGTCGTTACCACTGTTTGATTAAAACAAAAACCATTATAATTATTTTAGTGAGTCCATGAATATATATCGACATATTCCATCCATTGGAAGCCATAAATACTACACTGTAGCTGAAATGTGTCTTAGGAACTTCACCATGACAAAAATCACTCGGATAACAATTTGTAGCACCTGTGTAAAAACAGGGGACTACATTGACCTCTTTATGATGGAGACAACGACATGGGGAAATTTCAATACTAATCATCATAGGAGTACGACCAATGTCCATTTCATTAGTTTTTCTTAAATATAGGTCTTTCAAACTGAAATATCGTATAAGTAAATAAAAATCAAAAATAATCGTTACAAACTAAAACGACAGCTAGTTGATTCGAATTTCGCAATTTGACCCATAAAGCACTAGAAGCAGATTTAAAGTCTTTTGGGGGTCCTAGTTTCCTAAGGTCATTATGAACTAGGTTTATTTCGATTTTGAACTATTCACAAGCATCTTGTTATTGTGGCATTGACCATGATTGATACCCCAGACCATGTCTATTATTTAATTATCATCGATTCATCAGAAGGATTTGTTTATCAGTAGTATAAGCTTTAATCACAAAAATATTTGGCCGTCCTATCGATAGAACACAAATTTTTAAGAGATTTTTAAAATCAATCAGCGTGTTATTTCATCCAATTTACCTGCAAAGGTAACAAAAGAATATTGAGAAAATATAAATAATTGATAAATGTTTTGATTTCTTTTTTCATTTTAGAAGTGGAACCGAAAACGCTGTCCCTGCTAATTGGATCAAATGGGACGATAACATGTCGTCTGTCCGAACCCAAAAGTTCCGAAATATGGTTTTACAAGGAGAATTCTGAACGTGGAATTTATCAACCTTCTGACGAAATACAGGTAATAATTACTGAAAATATTTTTCAACATTTTAGATGGTATATTTGTAAGGGACTATTTATTCCTGAGATCCACTAGATTTTCCATTAGACAAATAAACTTTTTACACTGTCCCAGTATCCCATATTGGGTTATACAGGGTGAGATGAAAAAACTGCAACCAACATCAGACGGCTGTCATTATTTCAGTGACAGCTCATTATATTGTTTACAAGCGTACTAAAGCATTTTGGTGAGAATTTTCCAGAAAAAAGTTATTCGTAATCGAATTATAGCGTCATGGTGTGATTTCTTTATCTTTTGTGTCTCGTACCATCGCTCATTACAGTGATACTGGTAGCGTAGTTCGACGTCAAGGAAGTGGACGGAAGAAAACAGCAGCATCAGCAAAAATGGTTCGAAAAGTAAAGAATCGACTTGATCGAAACCTGCGTCGCAGTGGCTAATAACCCCTCGAAATTGGTTTTCTCCGATGAGAAAACATTCGTTGTCCAGCAGTTTGTAAACAAACAAAATTATCGTGTTTACTTGACAAAGAGTTCAGCCGAAAATGTGCACCTTCTGTTGGCCACCAGAACTTAATCGCCGGCCATGGTGATGGTGTGGTATTAATCGACCGTGGTATCAGAATAAATGCCGAATATTATCGTGAAAATATTCTGGAGTGTGTATTAAAGCCTTGGGCATGCAAACATTTTGTCCGCAGACCTTGGACATTCCAAAAGCACTGAGCACCATAGCACTCAGCACGTGCCATTGAAGGAAAAATGATCACCAAAATTTCCGGATACAATCCGTTGAAATATTGTGTCTTGAGTATTTTAGAAAGCAAGGTTGGCACTAAAAAATACCAAAATTAAAAAAAAAAAAAACAATAATAAAAATATAAATTATGGCGTTTGACTTTGTTGTATTTTTTTACCTCACCCTGTATACTGGTTTTCTTTGTAACACCGAGTTCAAACAAGCAATACAATGAAATCCATACATTCTATTTAACCTTTGCATTGATTAAAGCCATGACAAATAACGCGACTTTGCAGCGATATAAAGTGCTAATCATTTTCTTGATTTCTTAATCATTTTCCCGGATTTTATGGATATTCTATATAGACTGGTGACAATCCCTGCCTTGCAATTCTCAGATAATGTATTTAATGGTAATAAGCCTTAAATACAGCCTTACGGGACAGAACAACAAGTTTTTATTTATATTATTTTTCTTATTTGTTAATAAATTATTGGCGACAAATGACAATTTCACATTCTACCACACGTACTATTTGTTCAATCTAGTTTAAATGTCACTCGAACATGCTGTGACACAACTGAAGATATTAGCGATAAATTCATCTTATCCATCAGAAGATTCGTGAGAACTTGCAGTACAAAATAAGAACTTCGCATTTCAGTTTTCTTTCGCTAAATAATGCATTTCAGCTAAATAATGGGAATCTAAAATGGTTACTACTTTTAAACATAGATTAGTGCTAACACTACTAGTTAGTATGTATTATTCATGCCTGATCAATTTAAATGGTATCTTTTGCTACAACTGTAGAATAAATGTCCGTGAATAGTAGGTTACAGTCGGGCCAATTAAAAGTATGTACCCAGTAATTTGTTATATGTACATACGCGCATATTGTAGTTGAAATTTTTACATTATTCCAAAAAATCATAGAACTGAAATAAATGTATTAATACGTTTTCTCTTCTATGTCCCTTTTTAATTACGCTCACTGTATGCACACAAGTGCCCCCGAAGATGTGCCCATATGCAAATACTGCAGCCAGCTAGCCTTCACAGTTCCCATTAACTTGTTGTCACTTCTTTGATATATTAGAATGGACACAGTTAGAACTCTCAGAACCAATGACTGCACCGCCATCCACACACACAAACAAACAGTGGCCTTAAACGCGGTCACTCACAGAGTAGTTCCACGGCTCGGCGAACACGGTGTATCTTCCATTTCTTTGGCATGTCATTTGTCTGCTGAGAGTTGAGTATTTTACGATGGTTTTGGGACAGTGTTGATTTGAGTGTGACTTGCATCGGCGCGCACATTTCCATGGAATAGCAAAACGCTTGCTGGGGTAGAAAGCGGTATACCTACAAGAGCTACAAGAAAGTAACAATCTTTTCCAATTGTTATCATTACGATGCAAAATGCATTGCAATATTGGCTAGAAAGAACTTTCTCGGAATTCTAAGCAGATAATCAGAACTTCTGCCATATCATTTAATTAATATTAGTATTATCAGATCGTTATCTAAGAATTATTTTATGGTGCCGCTATAAAAAAGAATAATTGTTGTTGAATTTATACAAGGCGGCATGGGCTAAAGAATAACAAGAATGCCAGACAGATCTTACCGTTTGTGTCTCTTCTAAAAACTTTAATAACTGAATGAGATATTGGTCTTGCAGGAAAAAATTTGAAGTTTTTCCATGAAAATGTGGTGAACTTTATCGACCAGTATTACACTTTTGTACCTTCTTCTTTTATATCTATAAAAGAGGAAAACGTTTGTATGTTTGTTTGTAATTTATGGACTCGAAAACCTCGAAAAAAAAATTTTATGAAATTCTACTTGGAACTGGAGATACAGGATCAGAATCGGAGGTACCTCCAAGAATTTAGATTTTATATGCACATATCTATTGATCCATTACAGATACAATCTCCAAATTTGGACTGCGAAACGGAATTTGAAACAAAAATAAATTTGCCAAATTATATTGAAATCGGTTCAGATTTGGATATAGCTCCCACATGCATTTTCGATTTCATGTATTTGATTCATTAAACAGGCTGTGTACGCCACATTTCAATGAAATTTGGAATGTGAAACGGAATTTCAAACGAATGTACATTTGGTTCAGATTTCGTTTATTTGATGCACCAAACACGATATGCCTGTTCGATTCCAAAGAAATTTGGAATGTGCGGCGGGATTTTGATCAGAAAATAAATTTGTCAAATTATATTGAAATCGGTTCAGATTTGGATATAGCTCCCATACATATTTCCAGCCGATTTCACATAGTTGATGCACCAAACACGATACGTATGTCCAATTCCAATGACTAAATCTGGTACAAAAATAAATTTTTCAAATTATATTTAAATCGGTTCAGATTTGGATGCAGCTTCTATATATTTTTTCGGCCGATTTTACATAATATTCATGTATGTTATGTGCACCAAACACGATATATATGATCGATGCCAATTAAATTCAGAATGTGGCTACAATAATAAATTTGACAAATTAATTGGAAATCGGTTAAGATTTGGATATATTCTCGGCCGCATTCACATATTTGACGCACCAATTTCAATGAAATATGGAAGGTGTGACGGAATTTGGTGTAAAAGTAAATTTTGTCAAATTATATTGAAATTGGTTCAGATTGGGATATGATTTTATTAAGAAGCATTGACCCACAACGCTTTTGCAATGGTATTAGGCTAAAAGTAAAAAACTTCACAACAAGCTAATTGAGGATACGATTATTACGGGGATGTATGTTTCTACCTCGAATTCTCTAATTGCAACAGAAATGCCACTCAACTTCAAAAGATGCAGTTTCCTGCACGCTTGCCATTTGCTTTGAAATAAAAAAAATCCAAAGGACAAACTCTTCGTGAATGTGGTCTAAATTTGGCATGTTTCTGTTTTTCTATAGAGCTATAGATATATCTGAACCGGTTTTCATCAAATTTAAAGTACTTGTTTCTATACTAAATTCGGTCGGAAGGGCCAAAATTCACACCATTTGGACTGATATTAGCCATTTGGTGCACAATAAACATAAAATCGGATGAAACACATATATGGGAGCTATAGCTATATCTGAACCGATTTTCACCAAATTTGAAGTACATGCTTGTAAGCTGAATTCGGTAGGAAATGCCAAAATTCACTCTATTTGAACTGATATTAGCCATTTGGGCCAGATATATGTGGGAGCTATTTCTAAATGTGGACAGATTTTCACCATTTTCAATAGGGTTCGTCCTTGAGCCATACACATGTTATTTGGAAAATTTCTTCTCAATCGAATAAAAAATGCGATCTGCATTTTGTTTACAAAAAAAAAATGGACAGACGGACATGCATAAATCGAATCAAAATGTGATTCTATGCTGATCACCAAAAGGAACTATGGATCTATGTCGTTTCCTTCTCCTTGTTACAAACAAATGCACTTGTTGTGTAGGGTATAATCATATGACATCATAACCCTACCTTCATTTCATTGTACCAAGTTTTGGAATTAAAAATCTTTAAAGAAAAATTATTCGAATTTGTTAAAGCTGTTGAAAAATACATATCGTGATATCATCTGAATGGCATCGTATAAACATATGAAAATTAAATGATTTCTGAGCAAAACCTTAAAAATTCTTTACATATCAATGTTGCCGAGCGTTGATGCATTTACCTATGTTCTTCTACCAAGTCGTCATATCAAAAAGTAGAAAAAGTCAAGTGACCATTCCCTTTGCCGGTATGAGATCATGATATTGGTAGCGATAAGCAAATATTGCAAGGCTGTCAATTTCGTTTAGCAGGTATTTGTGCAGGACAGTATGGCATTATTTCATATAATCGACTAAAATGTGTTTGGACCTAAGGATAATATATTGTAGTGTTGTAGGGTATCACATGGTCGGCCCGCACAACTAAAGCGTTTGGTTACTAGTTTTATCTTGAAAACTAGAATGATCGTTAACTAGAAAAGTGGAAAATCTCAAAACTTTATCTTGAAAACTAGAATGATCGTTAACTAGAAAAGTGGAAAATCTTAAAACTTTATGCAAGATATGAACTACGCTACTGAAGTAGTTTTTAAGTTACAATCATTGTAATTTTGAGAAGGCTTAATACAAAATCGGTTCGGAACATGATCTCATAAATGGGAGTCTGGAACGGACAAAGACCCTGCGGCCGGGTCCCCTCAAAACTTTGATTTTTCAGAGTTATAAGGAAAATGTAGTTTATTGTTTATTATGTTTATCCTTGAGACATATAAATCAAATGTGCTGTATTTTATCTCTATGGGACAAGCTTCGAATTGACTCTATAAAAATCATCAAAAATAACTATGGGCCTATCTCGCAGCTTTCTTCATGTTGCAAACAAATATACCAAAACAATACCCTATGCCACAGTCCGGATATAATTTAAACTCAACTAGCTGTTATTTTCAAACGACGAACAGCAATTGAAACCAAATAAATCTAAAATAAAAACAGCAATGGAAACCAACAAATCTAAAATAAAAACATGTCCATTTTCAGATAATAGATCAATATACGGCTGCATTAATAATACAGAATGCTACAGAACAAAAAAGTTGGTATCAGTGCATGGTGGACAAGCAGGGCATTGGATTATCCCAACTTCATGTTGGTAAGTTGTCAAATGTCAAGATTTGCCTCTGAATATTATATTTTAATTTGAGTACATATGTATAGCTAATATGCCTTTCTTTTCCTCTACAACAGGAAAATCGCCACAAAATGTTACAGATTTTTCCTGCATAGTCTATGATTACGAATATATGCAATGCAGTTTTACGAGACCAGAGAACATGCTCATGACCGAGTATGAACTGGAGTACAGATTTGCTAATGATGTAAGTAGCCGTTCGTGACAACCATGAATGCCACAGAGTTAAGCAAAAAAACTTTATTTTTCAGAACTCCAAACACAAATGCAAACTTTCCGAAGACCCGGAACAGTTTCAAAAATTGCACTGCAACATCACAAATTACCTACCAATTAGAGACAAATACCTTTTCACTTTGATTGGCAATAATGCTGGCGGCAGAAAGGCCCAAAAATTTGTTATCAATAATCACAAAATAGGTACTCATGCAATTGTGCTTAGCATAGCTCCTTGAATCTTCCTTAATGTTGTGTTTGTTTTTTTTCTTCTAGTAATACCATCACCACTAGAACTGCGTGTACAGAACATCACGAGTAACAGTGCTACGCTTACATGGGAAAAAATCAAATTCAGCTACTATCGCAAGGGTTTATTATATGAAATTAGAATTCCCGAAGCCAACTGGATACGAACTGGCACAATGGTACACCCCGAAGACTCCGTTATCGTTAATAATTTGTATTCGTACTGGACATACCACGTAGAGATTCGTGTGAAATCTAAGATTGTCGATGCACAGAATGACCGGTTCTGGAGTAAAACATCCACGCGAACTTTTAGCACCAAAACAAAACGGCCCGACAAGGCTCCCGATACACCATGCGGAAGTTTTTACATCGACAGCACTGAGACACAGCTGCGCCTCTACTGGGGTCATCTGCCCGAGTTCGAACATTGCGGCCCTGGCTTTCATTATCTAGTCAATGAAATCGATTCAGATGGTCTTGTAATGTAAATGAAGTTTTTTTGCAGAGCGGGAACTTTCTCTAAATGTCCTTTTATCCCTTACAGACAAAGTACAGTTGTTAATGACACCACCTTGTCTTTGCCCTGGAAAAATGTAAGCATGCAGCGTTTCAGCATCAGGTCGGCCAACGATATTGGTCCGAGTGTTGAGGACAACGTCATCAATGTCTATCGCAGCGGCAGCCCTCAGTATGAGCTAAACGAGAACAATATTGCCAAAGTTTATCACAACAGCAGCTATACACTATCCTGGTCTCCGCCGGCAAATCTCAACGAATTGGTCAACTACACAGTATTTTGGTGTTTGCCGAAAATTGAATTACCAAATCAATGCAAGGTAAGTGATGTTTAAAGCCCTAATTTCGAAAATCAAAACTAAGTCATGCAATTATACTCGTCTAGGGTCCCATCTCCTACAAGTATTTGGACAAGTACACAACCAACTTTACCACGGAGCCCAAAGATCGCAGTTTAAATTTGGCCATATCTGCCAATTATCCACACTACAATAAAGGCATGCAGTGGGCTCGCTGTTCAGCCGAAGTATCCAGTGAACTTATGAAAGTCGAACTGGAAGTTACAGCTATTAACGATAGTTCCGTGTTGGTGAAATGGAACTCGGGCAGCGTGTGTTCTTCAATCCTGAAAGGTTACAATTTGACATATTGTCAAGTTTCGGATGAGAGAAAATGTATCAGCCCCCAACACACAATTCAACTTTTCCGTGAATACCGCAACTATACCATACAAAGGCTGTCCCCATATACCACAGTCTGCATCACAATGTTCATGTTCTCGCCGAGCAATCAGGGACCTGTCAGCGAATACACATGCGTGCGCACCAAAGCAAGCGGTAAGCCGAGAGCAAAAAATTATACGTTTTTTTTTTTTAATATTGGTCTAAATCTATACATTTATGTTTATTCTTATCAGCTCCATCGCCACCAAAGAACGTTTTAGTAAATCGGACAACAGTGACAAGTAAATCGGCAAAAATTGAATGGAGTCCACCAGATGTTCTCAATGGCATATTGACTGGTTATAAAGTATATTGGTAAGTTTGGTGTCTTTGTTTACACAATCTCATACATTTGATGTAAAACCAAATTCATGAGTCTATAACTACAGTTTTACATATATAATTATTGTTGGTTACATTACACAATTTAAAATTCGGTATAGATTTAATTTAAAAAAATCAATAGGCGAATTTTTAAAATTAAATGAAAACATGTTTCTTGCAAGTGTTCGGTATAATATATTCAAATAGTCGACATATCCAATTTTGAAATAACAAAAATAAAAAAGACTTGATAAAATTGTATACAGGGTGAGATGAAAAACTGCAACAAAGCCAAACGCCATAATTTTTAAAATTTTATTAAATGAAAGCAAACAATTTTGGAAATAGCATCAAATTTTAGAATAAGTTTAGATTTGTTCGAATTAGTCACCTTTCCACAAATTATGGCCGAATGTTGCTCTGCGGTATTTTGGCCCATTCCCGGCGAAGCGCTTGCTTGAGGTGATCGACACTTTGGTATTTTTTAATGCCAACCTTGCTTTCCAAAATAATCCAGACACAATAGTCCAACAGATTGGTATCCGGAGATTTTGATGGCCATTGTGCACTGGAAATGAAGTGAGGAACCTCATTTTGTAACCATTCTTGGGTGGCGCGTGCTGAGTGCGATGATGCTGAGTCCTGTTGGAATGTCCAAGGTCTGAAGCCAAAATGTTTGCGTGCCTAAGGCTTCAATACACCACGCTTTAATACATTTTCGCGATAATATTCGGCATTTATACTGATGCCACGGTCGATTATGGCGGACCACACCATCGCCATGAGTTCTGGTGGCCAACCGAAGGTACACATTTTAAGCTGACTTCTTTGGCAAGTAAACACGATCATTTTGTTTGCTTACAAACTGCTGGACAACAAATGTTTTTTCATCGGAGAAAACTAAGTTCGGCAGATCACCACTTTCGGCCAAGCGAAGTAACTCTTTAGCTCTTTTGAGTCTATTTTCTTTCTGTTGCGGTGTATGTTCTTGCACTTTTTGAAATTTCAATGGCTTTACCCCGAGCTCATTTTTCAATATTTGCCGAATGGGATATTGCGATATATTCAGCTCACGAGCCATAGCTTTTTTTCTGGAAAATTCGGCGTTTGTACGCTTGTAAACAATATAATGACCTGTCACTGGAATAAATTTAACAGCTGTCGGGCGAGTGGCTTAGAAATGACAGTCTGAAGTTGGTTGCAGTTTTTTTCATCTCGGCGTTATTTTTAAACATATTAATAATAGAATATATGAACAGAAAGAAACTAGCACCATTGTATGGCATGGCTATAACTCAAAAAAAAAAAAACAACTTAAGGGAAAAATAAGATTTTTGCATTCTTGTTATATATTTTATTCTTATATAAATATTTTATACAAATATATTATAACATGATCATCTTCATTAGTATAGATATGGATTACAACATAATTTCTCTTTAATCTAGGCGAAAAAAGACATACAAACCATTTGAAACCGCTACAATCGACATTAATCAAACCTCTTTCGAGCTGACAGGTCTTAGTAGTTTCTCTGACTATGAAGTCTACGTCACAGCACATACAGTCGAAGAGTCGGAACCCAGCAGATCAGTTTTTATACAAACATTAATCGGAAGTATGCATTGAATTGAAACTTTGTTTGAAATGGATTTATTAGTTTATTGTTTTACAGTTCCATCCAGCCCCCGAAATATCAGTATTTCGGACTACGAGCCCGTTATCCATTGGGAACAGCCCGATGTGCCATCTGGTCAACATGTATTCTATGTTGTGGCGTTGATACATCGCTATACTGAAAATGAGTCTGTTTATGAACGTGTTTCGGTCGTAAGGGGACGCAGTTGCCGGTTCCAAGTGCCAGAGTGCACGTCATCTAAAATGTCTTACGCCCTGGAAGTGCGAGCCGTCAATGTCGGCAAACAAAACGAAATTGATAGGGAAATAAAACCAATGAACAAAGACGTAATATTAGCTGGGGCCAAAATTGATCCAAGCTTTTGTAAGCCAGACAGTGAAAAGGAGAATTACAATTATGAGTTGCTGGTCGAGGGAGACACAAGGTCATACTTTGCGTCTCCCTGGATAGATGCTCGGCACTCGTATTACTGCTCGCCCGACACAAAGGCTTCGCTATATGCAGTAGCCTTTGTTATTTTAATTGCTTTTGCAACTTACCTTTGTTATTGGGTACGCAACAAATACTACAAAATGAAAAATATTAAGGTTATTTTACCAGAGGGTCTAGTGGATCAAGAGTCCAATTACAAATTGGCCGGAAGTACCCTTCCCAAAAACTGCGCTCTGGATCCAGGTGCAAAGAAAGAATTTCACTCGGATATTTCGCGTAGTAATGATTGTCTCGTTGCATTCGAGCACAAGGACAACCTCAACTTAATTTCAAATTTCCATAATCGGTCACCAAATCCCTTGTCATCGCTCTCATCGTCGAGCAGTTCAAAGGATCATCACAACGATGACAACATGGGCGAGCATCCATCCCTTGAAACCACAAACGAAGAACTAAGCTCTAATTCAAGTGCTAGTTCGCATTCCAATTTGAACTATCATAGTCATCATCAAATACCAAAACTATCAGAGATTGATAGCAAAAATACAACATTGGACGTTGCCTCAGTGGAACAACTGCAAGATGAAATGAATAGCGACGAGATCGAATATAATGACGAAGACATTGAGCCCACCTTAAACAATAGTGGTTATGTAACGCACAACACCCAGCTGTTGGCTTCTCTTCTGAATACAGCGGAAAGACCAGTTCCACCATCATTTCACACACCATTTCCAGCCATGACCACCGACGGTTACATTCAGCCGAGTGCTGCAAAACAATTGGTAAGTTTCATAGTATCATTTGTTTAACACACCACAATTCACAGAGTATTATTTATTTATTAAGGCCATGACGGTATACATATCTTAGCTCCTGGCTAAACCGGAAAACTCTAAATCGTTTGAATCAGCGTGGGTTTCCACTCTTTGGCTCATAAAAACCACTGTTTAAGAGTTGTATCAATTTCCTTTTTAAAATCGCTACAGCAGCGATTTTGGCTTTTTAAGGTACCGGTTGTAGCGATTTATACGTAACATTATTTATTGTCATCACTGTTTGACAATAAGGCTGCTTTGAAAAAATGTATATTAGTTATCAGAATTGTGATTTGACTTCTTCAAATTTCGAATCACAATTATGTATTTTAATAGCAAACTTATTTAAGAGATTGGCTTACTGGCCGACCTTATATGGGCCTTGAAATGAAATAGTATATAGGAATAAAATAAATGAGTTTGGAAATAAACTGAGAAACGTAGGTACATGTGTGGTCTAGATTTGTTCTTTATGGGAAGAATTTTTGATTAAGTCCTAGTTTATTTTATGTTAAAGCCGTTGTAAAAAAGATTAAAATATTTCCAAATAAATTAGTTTAATTCTAAAATATTTATGATTTTTTCCTCTTTCTAACGATTGATTATTTCCGTTGTTTATTTTTTTTTTTTTTTTTTGCAATTTTTCATAGTGTTTTTGGTTTAAGTCAATAGGGATTTGTGGTGTTTTTTATCAACTTATCTGTAGCGATTTTTACGCCGGAACAGTTATGATTTTCAATTTGCAAAAAATTTGGTTAAAAAACTTATTTTTTTAAAAAATTCTTTTTTCAGTTTCAACCTCAAATACATCATCCACCTCCACCAACCTCACAAAATGGTTACACATGCATAGAAGCACTTAGCAAGATGACCACTATGCCTGACAATGGAACGGTACAAAATGTGACGTCGCCCACCAACACTGCATTGCCACATTCGCAGAATTTTCCAACAAACAGTGGGCCAGCACAAACATCACCAGTCATCACAGATCTGGAGGACATAGACCTTCGTAGGAAAGACATACGCTCGCCAAATGCAGCAACTGCAGGAACAGCGGTTCTCCAACAACCAAATAATAACAACAATACCATTTACGGTTATGTAACACAACAACAATTGGCGAACTTTGGCACCAACGTTGCACTGGCGAAGGAATTAAATACTTAATTTCATTGGACACAATGTCCTACTACGGTCCAAGTCATAGGTCATGCTCCTCGCTAGGATAGGAGCAAGTAATGAATGTGCGTTTTTGCATAGGCAACAACTTATCTAACTTCTCGAATTTGAAATTCATTGTGCTAGTTACCTGTCGATTCAAGACAATTTGTTGTTATTATTAAATTGACTGTTTAAACAATTGTTGTTTCATCCTATTATCCTTAGATATAATATTTAAACAAAAATTCATATTGACTTTTTTAGGTGTTATCCCAGAATAAGAAAAGTCCTTCGACGCATGATACAATCAGTTACAAGGAATGTCTAGTAATCACCTGCTGAATACAAGGTGTACTTCTGTTGGAACACATACGTAGTTTTTGTATGTGAATGTATTGTTTCGAATAATATGGGAATTTAATTTTAATGTTTATACCCTACAACACTATGTGTTGGGGGTATTATAAGTTTGATTGGGCCAGAATTTATGTAACACCTCGAAATATTGGTTTCCCATATAGGAAAGTATATATGGATCTTCCTAGCTCGCCGAGCTGAGTCGATCTAGCTATGTATGTCCGTCCGTCCGTCTGTCCGTCTGTCCATGTTAATTTGTAATCACTCTACAGGTCGCAATTATGGTCCGATCTTCACGAAATTTAGAATGGAGGTGGGGTTAGGGTCAGAATAGAAGCCTATTTCTTTTGGAGATGATTGCTAAATGTTTAGGGGTTGAAATGGACCAAATACTGAAAAAATATCGGATTTTGCAACAGCTATACAGGTCGCAATTATAGACCAATCGAATTTCGTATGTAGCTAGAATTTAGGGCGGGGAAGAAGCCTACCAATTTCGGTGGTCATCGGATAATATTTAGCGGGTAAAATAGACCATATCTTTTGTGTTGAAAAAATTCAACACTTTTCATTAAACCGGGAATATTTTAAATCCCGGCGAAATCACGAAGCCATGACAAGGTTACTTCTGACCTTTACATTGATGTTAACATCCATCAAATCGGATATATTGCAAAATATGTGCGATATATATGTCTATCAAAGAAGATATGCTTGAAAGATCTCTTATATGTCGAGAACGGCTGAACTGATTTCGACAGTTCTCATTAATTCAGAATGGCCTCTTGGCAGGAAACATAAAACGTCTAAAAAATCTCATAAAAATATCTTTCTAAAGCTAACAAAACTAAGTAGTTAGGATATCAGGATATCATATACAGATCGCATTTATGACCCGATCCTTACGAAATTTTGCGTGGGTATAAGATGAGGGTCAGAATTGAAGCCTATTCTTTTTTGGAGATGATCGCAATATATCTAGGGGTTGAAATTGACCAAAAAACTGCAAAATTGTCAGCAGGTAGTAATTATCGCCCGATCCTCACGCACATTTGAATTGGGGTTACCGGACATTGCAAAAGCCAAGCAGTTTTGGATGGCCATCCAAAAATATTCAATGTGCGAAATAGTTTGCCAACTTTTGTAGACAAAATACGAAAATGTCCATTCCAGTGTCTTTGTAGAATTCACAAATACAGGAAAGAAGCACTTCTGACTATTTCGTTAACGCTGATTTCGTGGAAGAATATAGTCAAATGTCTGTATCTCATATAGATGCGTTTCAGTCAAAAACCAATAATAAATATTAATCTTTTGCCACTTCTGAGAGATTATAGGTCTTTGGGAAATATTGGTTCCAGATCTAAGAAGACCATTTACGTACAACATCTACCAATAAATTGGAAATGAGGAAATTCGTTTAAGTTGCAATTAATCGAAAATTAGAGAACGAAACCTGATGGTTTTCTTTTTTATTTGTCACAATATTTTGTGGAATTCTTTCGAGTATCTCGCCTATATAAACTGTATGGTTTATTATAGTGTTGTAGGGTATTCAACGGTCGGCCCCGCTCGACTGTAGCCTTTGCTTACTTGTTTTAAGATCTATTCAGTTTAAAATTCGTTTTTTTTTTTTTGGGAATACTTGTTTTAGTTTTGAAATATAACAATATTACGAACCCGTTATTATGAAAATCCCCTGATGTTCCCTTCGTTTTCGTGATTTTGCCCTAAATTAAAAAAGTGTCATATAAACAAAATAAATTGTTACTTTTGTTGTGAGGATTGTTGGGATTAGCATGACTCTGTTTTCAACCTGTCCTATCTTGTATATGCTTGTATCATGCTTCGATCCATTTGTGGCCAACATATACATATATTTTTTGATTAATAAGTAAATATTGTGTACATAACATAGAGATATATCGTATTAAGGATAGGGCACTATATTTTATATGATGTATTTATTTTTCATTGATTCTCACAAATAAATTTTCGGAGCACACATACACCCACACACACACCTTAAGCAGTCAATATCTAGTTCGATACTCATCACAACTTTGCCATTAATGTTAATTGTTAAAATATTTTACGACACAATATAATTGTACTCAATATACAAAAATTATACAAAATACATATATCTATATATACAACCATGAAAATATACACATAGGATTTATTTATAGTTAGATTTACACACACACGTACAATATTTTAAGACAATTCTTTTAAAAACTCGATATACATGGGTTAGCAGTGACATAGACCATTGGCCAAGGTCGACCTGGGGCAAGAGCAAGTGTGCCGTTTAGAGTCTGCCAGGGGACCATAAAGCCAAGCCCTTGATAGGGTAAATATCGCTGCATAACTTCAGCCTCACGAAAATATAGGCAAATTGAATGCCGCTCGTAATAATGATTTCTAAATTCAAAAAGTTCACATCTTCGAAACTATTAGCGTATATCTCGTCGGTGCAGGTGATTTATCATGACATATTTTGTGCATTTTCACCTATTCCGGATGCTTTGACATGGCATTTTCGTTTCTGCGACATATTTGAAATAAATAAGAAAAAGAGGATCTTTAAAGTCACTATATTAGTACTGATGACAGACAAATGCCTCGGTATCAAAGAAATTACAAAAAAACAAATGGCCAAATTAGTTGTTTTTTACAATTGATTGAAATAGAAACCAATTTAATTCAATGCGTTAAACTAACAACGTAAAGAAGGAAATGTGAAGGAGTCGAGATGTTTTCGATGAGAAGTTCAGTTGTTTCAATAAATATGAGAAATTATGACATCACATGGAACTACTTTCATTAAATTTAGCAGGGTCTTTTATAAGTGTTGATCAATGTCTTTTTTGTGCCACTCAACTTAAAATAATAAAGAAATAAATATTTTTTTTTAGTTACTGTGAAAGCTATTAAACAAAGTATTTATATACATATAGAAGAGCATGGGGAACAGTTGCCAAATATCTTTTGTTTTAAAAAAATATTGTTGCAGTATTTAGCATTTAAAAAATTGTTCACCCTGCAAATGTGTAGGATGGAACACAATTAGGTCAGTTTTTAAAACTACACTACTTTTACTGATGCTCACAAGGGTGGGCACTGTGAAGTCAAATTACAAGGGCTGGTATGCCGTAATATATTGATCAACCAAAATTTTTAAAGTGCGTTAAGGATTGGCTGGAATATTGATTCTGAAAATGTTCTTTTATGTTGCTCTACCTATTTTTATAGGTGTTCGTGCACAGTTTCTAGCGAAAAATTGCAACTGCAAATTCATTAGAAGAGATTCAAGGCTGAGAGATTGTTATTTTATTAAAAAAGCCAATTACAAGCTCAACGAATGAACATTTCGCTGAAGTTTTGAAAAAGAAATCGATTATTATTATTCCAATAAATACGGCAAATACATAATTTAAGATATAAAAATCTACCATTGTAAATTGCAAAAAGACTTAATATACACATGTATTTTATTTGATACAAAACAAACAATATACTCTTGTAAATAATAATATTATCCTCCAATACCGGCTGACTTTCAAAATGTGTCAAACAAAGTCTGTCTCCGACTGTACAACTAAACAACAATATCTCTAAAACCAACATTTATTTGGTGCTAAAACCGTTCATTGTTTTAAGTTCGTCAACATAAAATACAAAGCTACAAGGACTACGCGATTTATTTCTTAATAGGCGTTTTCAGATGGTATACCTTGCATTTTGTGTAATTCAACATAATGGTCCTGACATTTTGAAATCAGCCACTTACCCATAATTATTTTCCGTGTGCATATTATACGACGCTGAAAAACTTATTTATGGAAATACATACACACCTAAATACCTATTTATGTTATTGAAATTAAAGAATTTTATAAATAAAATTTTAAATTTTACAAATAAACAAAATGGAATTTTAACATACTGTATAATGTTTTTTGACTACATTTTGATTCGAAACGCAGATGTTGCCGACAAGTTTTTCTAGTGGTAAGTACAGGTGTTGTTTACTACCTCAGCGACTGCATAAGTATGAATGCTATAAAGACCCGCTTGATAGGCTTTATGATCTAGGCGTTGTTTACTACCTCAGCGACTGCATAAGTATGAATGCTATAAAGACCCGCTTGATAGGCTTTATGATCTAGGCGCTCTCTCTTATATTGCAGGACCTCCCTTTAGATCATACATGATCAATGAAGACGATTATCGGGAGATGGTCTGAGCCAAGAGAAATGACGGGTTCCCAAGACGCGTCATTTATCAGACCGGGTGACACAATGGTTAAATCTGGCGAACTGTGACACTATCTTCTTATTCGGGTGGGGGCATCGTCGTTTACCGTGCAAAATGTGAAGCAGTCAATATGCTCTGTCAACGCTGATCCCTTCTGGTCATTACCTAGGACGGAATGCCACAACTCATGGTGGGCATTGAAATCCCCTAGTACTAGGCGGCAATTGCTTTGCCTCGGCAGTTCCACACTTGACTGCTACCCACATACATTCCATGTATGAGTCACTAGAGACCAGACCATCAGCTTCCACTTCTGGTGCGATCTTTCCTCAATACGTTGTAACTATTTCAACGTTGTAAGCTACAATTTTCATTGAGCTTGGTTTCCTGCACCGCTGCGATCTTAATATTCCTCCGATTCATAAAATCCACTATCTCATCAATTTTACCTCGGAGTCCCTTGCAATTGAATTGCAAGAATGATGCACTGTCCGGAATTTGAACAGCAACATGTGGCGTTAGGTGCTGCGGTGAAGGTTGCTGTTCTGGAGACTGCGGGGGAGTCCTATACTCCGACGACGACTCAGAAGTTGACGACGAGGTCGTGGGCTCACTGGGAACTATGTTGGTACAGCACAATGCAACATCGCTCTAGTCTCGCAACCTGGTTAAACCGGAACAATTCCTAAAATGCACCCATCCTCCGCATATATTACATCGCACCGAGACTGGTCTGTGGTGGATGATGTTTTGGCAAGCCGTGCAGAACCATGGTCCGGGGTTTTCCTCAATCCTGGCACGGACCAAAAGAATCCGGAGCAAGCATTCCGGGATGTGCTGCTCCCAATAAAGAAAAATAAACAAACACGAACATGTATACATCTGAATTAGAGCCTGACTAAGGCAACGGTTTTTAAAATCAATGATTAGAAGAAACGTACACAGCCAGTTTTGCCATTGAATTGAAATACTCAACAGTTTGGATCACATGGAAAATCAGGCATTAAATTTGTTCATTTTTCGCGCTTTTAAACCCTATTAAAAATTTTCAAATAATAAACTTGTTGCATATAATATTGAATAATTCTGACAGGAAGTGGACATAGGTTTAGGTCTGTAACTCCACCATACTCATGTTAGATCCAACAAAGTATATATATTCTTTATCAGCGTAAAATTCTAGGTCAATTTAGCGATGTCCGTCTGTCTGTTGTAATCATGCTATCTTGGAACGATTTGAGCTGAAAGGCTCAACTTTTGCACACATGTGTATTTTGCCAGTAGGCAAGTTGAGTTCGTAAATGGGCCCTGTTGGTTCAAGTATTCGTGCATATAACGGTACCAACATTTTGATGATTTTAGCGACATTATTTAATTTAATTTAATTTGTGTCCCCTGCACAACAAGACAAAGACTTATAAATTACAGTACATAGTACATATCCGGCTCAATTCTGATGTATTAAAAGTTAAAAAGTTTACACCACAAAAGGTTACAAAAAGTTAAAAAAAATAAAAAAACAGTATTTTACTATAATATTACGAAGATGGAAATGCGTTGCTGATGCCCAGTAAGTGATGTGGACGAGTATGGTGTCGATATAAAGCTGTCACTCCGGGACCAGACTACGTCGTCTCAGTGGCATTGTAGTCCTTCCTCTGTTGGATCTAGCAAATTTTAATCTTTGAAATAGCGTGAAAAGTGAATAAAATGCCTGGATGTTCTTTCAAGAATATCATCCTAAGTGTTCAATCTTTCAATTTCATGGCAAATCCGGTTAATATTATTAATGCGCGCCCCGCAATCTAAGTTTCTTCCAATCATTGATTTTGAAAATATTTTGTATTTATTTTTCAAAACAACAAATACATACACAAAATTGGCAGAAGTCGGGCACACTTAGAAAAAATTGTAATCAGCTGGGAGTTCTACCTAACCTCCCATCCATTGCAGCTGAAGAACGTCGGCTGCCTAGGCAAACCAGGGTAGTTTTGGCCCAACTACGTTCAGGATGGTGCAGCCGTCTCAATTCGTATTGGACACGAATTGATGAGGATGTGCGGAACGCCTGCCCAGCGTGCGATACAGGCCCGCACAACACGCTGCACTTGTTTAATTGTCCAGCCAAACCTACCCAACTCCGTCCAGAGGATCTATGGCTACAGCCCATAAAGGTAGCAGAATTCCTAAACCTGGACATCGAGGAAGAACCGGGATAGTCAGAGAAACAACGGAACATGTAAAACTGCTACAACAACCTAACCTTTTCATTGTACCATGGATACAATCAATCTCAATGGGTCGGTTAGGTGTAACGTGTTTATTCGAGTTGCTCAAGCGAAATGAAAAAGTTGTGAGCAAACATGAATTGATCGAAGCTCTGTGTTCCCACGAGTGATTTGTTTACGAACTTACATGTAATAAACAGGCACTTTTTGACGTATTTCTAAAAATCAAAATCGTTATTTTTAATAAAGAAACACGTCAACGATATTATTTAAGTGAGAAGAGAAAGTCAACCGAATGGTTTGGCTGTTGATTTAATTCTTAGTATCCGGCTCGAAGGACCAAATGTTTAACCGAAAAGAGAAAGTCAACCGAATGGTTTAGCTGTTGATTCAATTCTCGATTCGGCTCGAAGAATCAAATGTAGGGGGCGCTTTGCTAGGGTGTTATTTAAATTCTGATTTTATTTCAAAAATATTTTTCTTAAGTGCTACAAAAACTTATCTAACTTAACCTAATCGCAGCCACACAATTATTCTTATCTATTATTAGATTTAAAAGGAAACACTACATGGCTGCGAGTCCCTACGTTCAAGTGATCTTGGCTACCACTGGCGCACCGATATCTGTGTGAGTCGGTGTACGTTATGACCTTTATTACCCTACACATTATCGTATGCGACAGCGCACAAGAACACTGAATTGTACACATGTGATGGACCACTGGGAAACTGACAATTTTGAAATATTTATTTTTATAACCTCCACCATACTATGGAGGGTATATTAATTTTGTCATTCCGTTTGTAACTCCTCGAAATACTCGTGTCACGTCTTCGTATAGCCCCCATATAACGGTACCCTCTATATTCGGTATTTTGATGATTTAAGCTACATTATAAACAGATTTTTCTTCAAGTTTCGCATTTAAATATTGTGTTAACTTATGACAAAAGTTGCCAATGCAGGTCCACGTCGTCATATAGGCATTCGGTATTTTTAATATTTTAACAGAATTTTTAACGGATTTTTTTTTTTTTGGAAATGGCCAAATTTGTACCAAATGGTGGAGGGTATTAAAATTTCGGCCCGGTTGAACTTACAGCTTTTTTACTTGTTAATGGTTAGATTTTCCCAGCGCCTCAGCCGCACTCAAAAGTATGTACAAAATATTTTGTACAGATATTTAATAAACAAAAACTGTTTAAATATATTTTATTTTACAATATTGGCCAAGACTTTCCACACAAAATTTGGACCTTTTCGTTTGCCAGTTTCTACTTGCAACGCCTTCGGTTGCACTATCACAATATTCTGCCCTAATTGGATTGAATAGTTGAGTAAATAATTACGCTAAGCGAACTCGATGGAAAGAAAACATTAACTCTTGTGATTGTTCATTCCAATTCGCGTGTTCGATCTACTCACGATGCTGAACACATCATACGCTCGCAAGCACTCATGTTTGATTGTGAGTTAAGTGATTCAAACTGATACGATACGAAAACGATAACGATGAAAACAAACGACTGCATCAACAAAAATCATGTAAGAAACCGAGTATCGTTGCAGCCCTCTGATATGCACTCGACTGTGAACCAATTGTGTAGGATGATCATTGGAATACATGAAAAAAGTAAGGGCCTAATAATGGAACTTTGACGGACTACTTTATCCACTACCAGCGGTCGGGATATTTTTGTTCTGGAATATAGTGATTGTAAACGATTGGTGAGATAAGAAAAAAATAATTTTGTTGATAAGGCAGAAAAACCAAATATTTCCGGAGTTTAAAACACAGATTTTGATGATCTACTGTATCGAAATCTTCCGAGTGGTCAAAGAGAACCAGAAAACAAACCTTGTTGTCATCAACCTCATTTCTAATTGACTCCTAGACATATATTAAAGCAGTAATACAGCTGTGGTCTGTACGGAAACAAGACTATGCGTCAGTTAGCAGAGACTCACGATGGAGATAGTCAGTAATTTGTTTATGAACAATTTTGGAGAGGTAACACAATATTGCAATGGGGCGATATTCGTGATTTGATTTGTCAACAGGAACAATCTTGACATGTTTCCATACTGTTGAAAAAGTGCTTGTGGTTATAATGTTATTGAAAAAAAGTTAGGTATGGTATTAAACTAGGAAGAAGAATCTTAAAAAATCTGGGATCTATTCCATTGGGCCAACAACGTTGGATTTAATTTTATCAAAACATTTTAGAATTTCATCACTTTTAAGAGTTTTTTCACCGAAATTGTTTCATATAACGGTACCTCCCGATATTCGGTATATTGAAACATAATTCAACGGAATTGTTGAATTAAGATCCACAGGTCCACGTCTTCGTATAGCCCCCATACGGGTTTTTTTTTTTATTTATTTATTATTTTTTGAAAACTTTCAAGTTCTTTCCAAATGGTGGAGGGTATTAAAAGTTCACCCCGCCCAAACTTAGCTGAT